ATTCCGGATGGGAATGGTTTTCGCGCGTATGTTTGTTTTTTGTTTCAGGATTTATATAATATAAATTTCATTGTGACGTCCAGAAGTCTAAACGCTCATTGTGTGTAACGGCTGACTTTGAACAGTGACGTATTCAATTGTCGTTCAAATGTCTGTTAGTTAGTTGGTCTGTTTTTTTTTAATTGACTTTTTGACATCTGTTCAATGATTTAATTTTTGCATTTACCCGTTTTTGCAATGCATCATACAACAAAACCAACATCTACCTTAATCAATAAATGAAAGGGAAGTGGTAGGTATAAAGTATATTAATAAAGAAAGGAAAAAATCAAATCAACATTTGTATATTTTTGTATAAAACATGTAAAAACAATAAAAAACAATTTCAATTTTATATAACGATAAAGGATAATAAGAGTTTTTATAGTTGTTTTCATTAATGTTTACCGTGGTGGAATCCCCATTCCTTATGATCATCATGACCACCTTTCTTGCCGTGGCCGTGGTGATGATGCTCATGACCCTCATGTCCATGGTGACCCTTGTGTCCGTGATGACCCTCGTCATAATGATGTTTATCGTGATGTCCGTGTTTACCATGGTGACCCTCATGATGGCCGGAGTGATGGTGACCTCCCTTCTTGTGGTGACCGCCATGTTCTTCGTGGTGTCCGTGATGATGACCATGCTTATGGTGTTTGCCTTCGTCGTGGTGTCCATCGTGGAAGTGGTGGTCCTTGTGGAAGTGGTCCTTGTGATACTTCTTGTGGTATCCGTCGGTGTGTTCACCTTTGTCGTGATGTTCATGGTGGCCATGCTTGTCGCCCTTGTGGTGGTGTCCGTGCTCATGGTGCTCGCCGTGATGGTCGTGTTCATCCCAGTGTTTCTTGTGGCCACCTCCGTGCTCGTGGTGATGTCCCTCGTCGTGATGTTTGCCGTAGTGCCCCTCATCGCCCTTGTGGTGGTGATGATGACCGTGGTGTCCCTTGCCTCCCTTTCCGCCGTGTTCGTGGTGATGATGTCCGTGATGGTGGTGGCCGCCGCCGTGCTCGTGGTGATGGCCTTTGGTCTCGGCTACCGCGAGGTCGGACTCGGCGACTTCGTAAGCGAAGCAAGCTGCAGCGAGGCACAAAACTCCTAGCACCAACAGACCCCTCATATTTGCAAGTGGACTTCTCCGTTTGTTAGCTAGCGGAAGTCCGGTTGTGACTGACCTCAGTTGGTGGATTGGCTATTTTATATTATTTAGTTGTTAGACGAGGCGATGTAGAAACATAATTCCGCAACCGGCGCCTGCACTAGTTCATGGACAATTAATAAAATGACTTAGCATCATTGATCTTCGAGTTTACGTTGTCGATGCATACGAGAATTTGTTTATTGTTTAATCTATGTAGGAAACCATGAAATTTAAAAATATAGCGAATATTTATCTTTTTGTGCAGAAATTTGGACTAAAATGAAAATGTCTTTTAATATCCATGAAGGATAATCCGAAGTATTTAAAATAGAGTAATTGTTGTACTTTATGGTAGAAACCAGGCATAATATATGAAGATACACCTTGAGGTGGATTTTTAACACCATATTGTGAAAATCTCAGCTAGAACTATATAGTCTATTTAACATCACTGGATCCATAATACTGCTTAATTCTGATATAATAATTTCTGTACGAATTTTTAGAAATAGAACTAGACTAGACTTCGTGCACAGCGAATATGTACCTATCTAGTTAAATGGAATTTATTTATGAAATTTTGTAAGGCATGCTCATATTTATTCTTAGAAATAACGTATTTAACAAATACGTTATTTGTTTATAACAAAAGAAGAGCTTCGTATTCACGCGAAAATAAAGTTTGTTCGCTTTATCAACATATTCAAGAGTGGTAGAACCCGCTTTAACATCTTCGCACGAATTGGCCAGGTTCGCCCGGTGAAATACCACCACCACACAGAAAACAGGCGTGAAGTGGAAGAAATTCCGCGTTTCGTCTGATGAGTGTGGTCCCGGAGGCCCAACCTCCCCCCCCCCCCTTTAATACAGCATGGCAGTGGGATTAAAAGAGAAAGTACCCCAGGGGGGTACCAAAACCCCTGGTTTTGGAGAATCCCCCTCCGCGCGCTTACGCCTGAACTCTCGCTTGGAGTCTGGGGGTATGCGCGCGGGCCGCCCTGCGTATTCTGGGGGGGGCAACATTCCGCTCGCTCGCTGTAGAGGCCGGGGCAAACGAGGCCAGGCACTTCCACCCCCTGCCACCCACGCAGTGGACCTCTGCAATATCAGGGGACTCCATTCCAACTTGGAGGCCGTTCATTACCATCTCCGGACGGCCAAGCCGGCCTTGCTTTTTCTTACCGAGACACAGATATCCTCTCCGGCGGACACATCGTACTTATCCTGCCCCGGATACAAACTGGAACACTCCTTTTTGCCCCGGGCTGGGGTTTGCGTGTACGTCAGAGAGGATGTCTGTTCTCGTCGCCTCAGCCTTCTTGAAGGTAGGGACCTATCTCTTTTGTGGCTGCGCGTAGATGGCGATGTCCATCCGCGGGTCTACGCGTGCCTTTATAGGTCCCATAGCGGTAATGCCGAAACAGACCGACTCATGGAGCAAGTCCAAACGGCTACAGATTCCGTTCTGGCACAGATCCCCTCCGCTGAAATCGTGGTACTTGGCGACTTCAACGCCCACCATGCCGATTGGCTTGGCTCTCGTACCACCGACCATGCGGGGAGATCTGTCCACGACTTTGCCTTGTCTTATGATCTGACGCAGCTGGTCGCCGCGCCCACGCGAATTTCTGATGTGGCAGATCATACGCCTTCCCTGTTGGACCTTCTGCTGACCTCTCATCCGGACAGCTATCAGGTTTCTGTCGACGCCCCCTTGGGCTCGTCGGACCACTGCCTGATCCGGACCTCAGTGCCTATCTCGGTTTGCCCACGGTTTAAACCGATTGGCTTTCGCCGAGTGTGGCACTACAGGTCAGCAGACTGGGATGAGATGCGGTCCTTTTTTGCATCCTACCCATGGGAGCGAGTTTGCTTCAGTCTGGATGATCCCGACGCTGTTGCCGACTCTGTCGCCGATGTGGTGCTTCAGGGGATGGATCTTTTTATTCCGTCTTCTGTTGTGCCCATCGGGGGCAGTTCTCGGCCCTGGTTTGGTAGGTCCTGCAAATTAGCCGCGCGCTACAAGCAGGATTGTTATCGAGCCTGGGCTGAGGCGTCAGCAGCTAGGGATGTAAATACCAGCCAGCTTAAAAAGAAGTATAACTCTGCCTCCAGGTCCTTCAAAAGAGTGATTGCCAAGGCAAAGTCAGAACACGTGGCCAGCATTGGTGAGAGGCTAGTGCACCTTCCTTCGGGAACTCGCGCGTTCTGGTCTCTTGCCAAGGCTGTCCAAGGGAACTTCTGTAAGCCGTCCCTACCATCTTTGCGCAGGGGGGACGACTCGATGGCCCACACCGCAAAAGAGAAAGCCGATCTCCTGGGCTCTCTTTTTGCGGCCAACTCGACTCTGGATGACAAAGGTAACTCGCCGCCGATAGTCCCACGCGGCGAGACCTCCATGTCCGAAATCCAG